GAGCAATGTGAGTGGGTTGTAGTGGTGTGGTGGAATATAGGTGGGTGGTGGTGGTGTAGAGCAATGTGAGTGGGTTGTAGTGGTGTGGTAAAATATAGGTAGGTTGTGGTGGTGTAGAGCAATGTGAGTGGGTTGTARTGGTGTGGTGCAATGTGGATTTGCTGTAGGAGTGGGGTGCAATGTGGTGTGGTGTGGGTAGGTTGTAGTGCTGTGTTTGATGTGGTTTGGTAAGAGTGGGTTGTGGTTTCATATGGTAAGGTGGGGTGGTGTTTTGGTATGGTGTGATGTGATGTGATGTGGTTTGAGATGATGAAAGTGGTGTAGTCTAATGTACTGTAGTTTGGTTGGATATGATGTGGTACACTGTGTTTTTACTTGGTATGGTTTGGTCTAACATGGTGTTGAATAATTTATAAATCATGATTGTGCATTTTTGATGTTCAAGRCTAGAGCTCAGGAAGAACTTTCTCGTCGTATATCCTGTGGTGCCAATACTGATGATGCAAGCAGCTATCCTTGGGGACTCCCAAAAGGGAACTTTCGACACAGAATGCTAAGTACAGGTAACAAGTATTTGCCAAAGGCAAAGTGAATATTGGGGAATATTTATCGAGATGCAGGTCTTCGAGCAGGAAGGTAAATATTCCCCGATATTCACTGAGCATTTTCCCTGATATTCACCGAGTATTTTAAACACAAATGAACATGAGAAATAACGGAGAGTTTTTTTCAAATTTTATTTATCTTGCAAGTGGCACAAATTGACAAATGAGCATGCATGTTATAATCACCTGCAGAAGGTGAATATGGCAGCATAAGACGTAAATAAAAATAAGTAACCAATAGTGCGTCAGATTTATATATTCACGTGTCTATGAATACTAATGTAAAATAACATTTTATATGTTTAATCATAAATATACTTTATTAATAGTGTGGTACTTTCATAACAGGTCTTCACATTGAAAAGCCCTCAGAATGTGCAGCAAGAGAGCTGAGAGAAGAGACTGGTATCCAAGTAGATCCATGCGATCTGGAAAAGATCTCTTATGTGGACATACCACAGGATGACAATCTGAACCCCCACAAGGGTAGGCACAGGATACTTTTGTACATTAAGATAGTATAATATTCATATTTCTTGCATATCTGTACTGTCTGACTCATAAAATATTAAAAGGATAGAAAACCATGGAGAACTTGAAAATGAACAAACGTTGAGCTGATATAAGTTAGAACACAGGTGTCTAAAGATCGAACTCTGAAACACCTGGGCTAATCTAAGCCAGGGCACAGCTAACTTACAGATCAAACACTGAAACAACCTCTGGGCTGATCTTAGTCAGGGCATGGCTAACTCACAGATCAAACCCTGAAACAATCTCTGGGCTGATCTAAGTCAGGGCATGGTTAACTCACAGATCGAACCCTGAAACAACCTCTGGGCTGATCTAAGTCAAGGCAAATCTAACTCACAGATTGAACCCTGAAACAACCTCTGGGCTGATCTAAGTCAGGGCATGAGTAACTCACAGATTGAACCCTGAAACAACCTCTGGGCTGATCTAAGTCAGGGCATGGGTAACTCACAGATTGAACCCTGAAACAACCTCTGGGCTNGTAACTCACAGATTGAACCCTGAAACAACCTCTGGGCTGATCTAAGTCAGGGCATGGGTAACTCACAGATTGAACCCTGAAACAACCTCTGGGCTGATCTAAGTCAGGGCATGGCTAACTCATAGATTGAACCCTGAAACAACCTTTGGGCTGATCTAAGTCAAAACATGGCTGGATTTTAAAAGAACAATCATACCAAAATGCACATGCTCACCCTACCCAATACTAAGACTCTCACTATACCAGCATGTCCTACTGTTCAAAGAAAATAGCAGATTTTATTGTGTTTTTAGGTGATGTGGCCCGTTATTTTCTGTATATTTACAACCCGATAATTGAAGATCTTGGCTCTAGTACCAATGACAATGATATGTCTAACACTCAGTCAGAAGCTGTTTTACAATCAGGTAAAGTTATATAATTAATATGTTATCATCATCATCATCACTATCATCACTATCATCAGCTGCATCATCATCATCATTGTCATCACCATCATCAGCATCATCATAAACTGTATCATCTTCATTGCCATCATCTTCATCATCATCATCATCACCACCACCATCTTCATCGTCATTATCACTATCATGTAATTAATATTGGTATTGCTATACATTTTATTTAGCTACCTATTATGAACACCATCTTTCTTATATTACTTATATATGTTGCTACACTCCTGGGGGGGGGGACTCCCTTATAAAAGGGGGCGGGGGTCCTCGTCGGAAATTCCGAAAATGACCCCTAAAAGGGACCTGTATTTTGGGATGGTGGGCGTGGCAGTGATGAAATTTTACCCCTATGAGGGTCCAATCAATAACACATTTTTTTTGTTTGGTTTCTCGATTTTATTTGCATCAAACGCCRTCTGCTCTAACAAATTTATGACGGCRCCGTCATATACAAATCACTTGCCTTTTTGTAGATCCTATACCCTAAAAGGGACCACAAAATTCAGTTGTGGGCATTTTTTTATTGTCGTTATCACCCTTAGCGGGACCAAAACCTGATTTCAAACCCTAAAAGGGACGACGAAGACCCCCACCCCCATTCATAAGGGAGTCCCCCCCCCCTCCCCCGGGCTACACTTTGGAATAATATGTCAAAAGCTGCAAATTTCAACATTCATCCTCAATTTTGTTTTTCTTTATTTCATAGACCAAAGTGTGGGAGCCTGTGAGGATGTTAATAAAGATGCAGTGCTGCCGGTTTTAGTTCAAAGAGAACCAATTGAAAGAAAAGATGAAGAGATTGAATGTGTTACTAATGAGAGTGGTGATGCTGCTCACGCGACTTTAATAGAATCTTATCAGGAAACCGGAGAAGRAAATATAAGAATTGCTTCACTGTCAGAAAAACTAATTGATTCATCATCAAAAGAAACAGCAGAAAAACCCTCCAACACCAACACCAAGGAACCCAAGATAGAGACATGTCTTGCACTTCCATCACCACCATCACCATTGCCATTGAAAGCAGAGAAGAAGACCATTCTAGCCAAAGTAAAGGAAAGCAGAAAAGAGTCTTTGGATTCTTCTGTTGTTAAAGATCCATGTGTCACTTCCTGTACTTCCATCTCATCATCATCAACAACAACAGCAGCAGCAACTACATCATCAAGCCTCAAGAAGAAAACACCGTTAAACACTGACTTTGAAACAGAGTATTGTTCTTCGAAGGACTCTAACTTTTCCTGTATTAGTAAATCAGACCCAATATATCCCACAATGCCTTGCAAAGGTAATTTATTTAACATAAATTCTGAAATAAAAGATGACATTCGAGAAGATAACAAGACGTTAGACTTGATGGAAGATAGTGAGCTAGGAGCTAAGGGAATAGCTGATGATGAACAACTAAGTCTCTTTAAAAATGATAATGCATCCACTGATGTTCAGTGCAGAACAGACCAGGAGAAGCGAGGACAAAAGAGAAAACGAGGTTCATCTGAGGATGAGGAATCAGGAGGTGAAGATGGTAAGGGAATATGATCTTGATGATAATAGATATGGTCTGGTTTGATGTGTGGTGAGGTGTGGAATAGCTGGTGTGATGTGTGGTATGTATTTATAATATAATAAAAAGTGTTGTGTGGCTTGGTGCGACATGGTATGGTATGGTATGTTATGGTAGGATATGGTATGGTATGGTGTGGTATGGTATGTATGATGTAACATGTGATGTGGCATGGCTTGGTGTGGTATGATATGGTATGTATGATGTAACATGTGATGTGGCATGGCTTGGTGTNCATGGCTTGGTGTGGTATGATATGGTATGTATGATGTAACATGTGATGTGGCATGGCTTGGTGTGGTATGATATGGTATGTATGATGTAACATGTCTGGTGTGGCATGACTTGGTATGGTATGGTATGTATGATGTAACATGTGATGTGGCATGGCTTGGTGTGGTATGGTATGGTATGTATGATGTAACATTGTGGTGTGGCATGGCTTGGTATGGTATGGTATGTATGATGTAACATGTCGTGTGGTATGGAAATGCTGTAAATATGTGTTCTGATGAGGTGGTGTTTTGTGATGTGATTTGATATAGTACATGACTCATACGACATGACCTTACTTCTCCTTTCCTTACAGATAAACCTGATAATACCCACCAAGAGCCTGGCACTAGTACCCCAACAACAACTGACCCATATAGGTACCAGTCTCCCATCGTCCAAGGTGCAAAACACGAAGAGTGTTCCTGGTTCCCAATAGATGAGGCCTTGAAGATATCTCYATCTTTTGCCACTATTTACGAAACAGAAAAATTCTCAGAACTTTTGATGTCACTCAAAAACACTTGGACGTGAATTGTGATTGTTGCTTGTCCCACATCGTCCACCAGAAAAGAAAGGGCAGCCAACTCATCTACAATCTTGGAGAAAAATAGTTGAGAATTGCAGCCCCCTCCCCCTCCCCCCTCTCCCCCAGATATAAATAATGAATGGTCCCTACACTTTGCATGGTCAGTTGGTTAATACTGGCGGGAAAAGGGCAAGTTATTATTGCGGAAGTTTGAACAAGTTTGAATTTTATTGTAATTTCTCATATCACAAGGTTCCATTTTAAACTAGCCTGCAAAAAAACTGACGACTCTTAGCATAAATTAAATAATTTATCATTCCTAATAAATACGGAATAAATCTGGCCAAATTCAAGTTTTTAATGTTATTGACAAAACAGGCAATCATATATTTCATTTATGACGTCAATTTTTACATGAGGGCTGGCCTCGAGTTGCAAATTACCGCTGTGTTCCTTGATTACTGACTAATTTACTCAGGGCTAGCCTCATATCAGTGCCTAAATATTCACAAATACCAACGGTAAAGTAAAGAATGTATAACTTCAACAATACAAACACTTTGAAATTCCACAGACATTCACTGAAACACGTGGATATGCTGCACAAAGTTGAGGCTAACCCAGACTACTGGAGTATCATGAAGTCTTACTGCCTTGGCTTCTCTACCAGATTGTGTCATACCAATATAATATTTTCCCCATAGTAGCTGCATTGATGATGATTCCCAAGAGACAAAGACATGGCGGCCATGTTGGTGCCATGAACAATAAGAAATCTTTTGTCAAATACCACCAACATGGCGGCTAGAGGGCACGGCCATCTTGGAGGACACAATCATATAAAATATCGCGCAATAAAACCTTAGTTTAAATTATTTTGACTACAAGATGGCCTAAGTAAAGCCCATCTCTCGATATAATAATGATAAGGTATGTACATGAATAAATACCATAGCTAAAACTTTTCTATATCTACAAATTATACAGATTATACGACTGTTGAATAGACCTAATCCACTGTTTTCCCATTTCACACCGTATCATTCCCCAGAGTATTATTTCTTTATTTAACAGTTGCACATGAGAATACGCATGAATATGGATACAACTCAAACAAAGAATATTATTCTCAAGGGAATGACACGTGGTCTGAAATGGGCAAAACATGTCGTTATGACTGATTATTGCGCGCATGTGGGCATATGCATATGGAATATGCGCGTTATAAATATTAAAGTTATTATAGTTATTATTATGAGGCTAAATTCCTTTTTAAAACCATCTTTCACGCACTGAAAACGACTCAATTCGAAATATTACACTCGTGGATTTGGTCCATCATTGAAGAATATATCTTGCACCTTGGGGTCTCCAAAATTCAGTCGATTTTCTTCAACATTTCGTATTCCAAATTGCACGATTTTCGCACTCATTGTCGGTATAAAGCGTATATTGCCGTCTCTTCCGTGCAAAAAGTTCCTTAAGTTTATCCAGTAAAAACAAGTTGATCGTTGTCCATCGAGTTAAACCTGCAAATAAATGACACCCCATTTTAGATTTTGCTGCGTTGGCATATCTATATTTTTTACATTGTCGCTGATCATGACTAATGGACTACTTCGAGGAAACGCGCGTAAGCTATCTTGGATCGCAAGTCATAAGGCGTCCAGGGGGCAAATAAAGCTTTGTTATAGTAGAGTGGTTTTCATTCACCCGTAAAACAGTGTACTAATTAGAGTGTACTAGTCACAAAATGACAATAGAAAACAAAAGAATCATCGTGAGGTAGTGCTTAATACGCTGAAGTGTATTTCACGGGTTAAGGAAAACCACTCTAATGACGTCGATTGGTATTAAGTGCTCACCACAAGAGAATGCAACAAATGATGAATTAAGACGCCACATCGATCCCTTTACCAATAAAAGAAAGACAAACACACGAAACTCTCTATATATTTTCCGTCATCTTTGTTTTTGTTTGCCCCCTTGCAAGATGGCCGCCGTATCGTCGAAGTACACTAGTTCACAGTAAACTTTCCGCGTGACAAATAAATGTTCCAGAAAGTTTAAAAACAGTTTATGAACTTTTCTCTGCACTCCATTTTGGAAACTCCCACGTGTAAAATGAACATGATAGACACTGCAACAAAGTCTAAAATAGCGCCACTTCACAGTTTACAGGGTTCTCCACCACTCAGTGACCGGTCGGTGACTTGGGTCAGTTTACTCGGGCTTCATGCTCCTACGTTTAATACAACTGCGCGCTCCTATCACGTTACAATGGACCTTTATCTCSAGGCGGCAATGTTTATTACTACAGAATAACTATAAAAACCTTTATTTAACCTGCATCAATATATTTTCAAGGACTTGAATGTGAGGCCACGTGTGGTAGAATATATTGCTCAAACCAACATGGCTGCCGCGTGAAAAAGGTCCGTTTTGACTCGAAAATTAAAATATTATTTTTGAGACATCTTTACTAAATTTATACGAAACAACTTTTCTTACTTTCGTATACTATCTTTCATTCTTGTTTTCTACCTTCCTCGGTTCCTTTGCCCCCTTTTTTAAATCTCTCCTAGTTCCTTCATTCCTCTCTCTCCATCTCTTTCTTTCTTTCATTCTTTCTTAAAGCTAAGTTTAAATGAAACTATATTTATTTTTGACCAAAGGTTTGTTTCTACCCCTCCCCATAATAAAACAAAAATCTTTCATTGCCTAAATTTGGAACCAGATACTCACCATTGAAAGTCCTATCCTTCGACCACATTACTCTGCTTTATAACACCATTCTTTATTTTAAGATCCTTTATTTGTACTAACTTTACTGGCGAATTAAAAATATTTTCCTGCTCTTGTTGGTTGACTTGTGTATTACAAGGGTTGCTACTAGGATATCCTGTTGAAAATGTATTATCGCAAGGGCTTCCATAAGAACTTCCATAAGGACTTCCATATGAAGTGCTTGTCATTCCAGGGATATACTGTTTCTTGTCTTTCTTTTCTGTCGTGTCTTTTTTCTTTGAAGATTTGTCGTTAACTTTGTCTTTCTTTTCGCTTTTTTTCTTGTCTTTGGTCGGAGCAGCACACAATTGCTCGACGAATATCAAGACACAAAGCAACAATATAATTGAGAACTTCATCTTTCTCAGTCGACTTCGCTTGCTCTCGTCCAAACCTGAAGATCACGAGAAGCGAATTCAGATGAATAAAATCTACTTCCTGCTGTTTAAATATAATTTTATGGCGAATTCCTTTTYATAAACTGCCAATATCGATTAATGTAAAGAAAGAAAGAAAGTTTCGTACGACAACAAGTGAAAATTATTATTAATTAATAAGRAATCGCCTGTTCATGGTTTGATGAACATCAAAAGATCAAAACACTAACTTTTATTTATTATTTTTATTCAAAAACCAAAGCAAAAAAAAGACCTATATTTTTCTAATGGTTTAAATTCATAAAKTTCTTCCGAAGTAACGAAATTGTTTTGTCCTGTTTTGGCATATTTAGCAAAAATACGAAAAAATATAATTGGGCTACGAAACCACAAAAGGTGTCAAATATTGCTTGAATTTTGCTTGTACTGTTTTGAGTTTTCTTCTCGTTCGTCTGTGTGTCTTTGGAAGGTTTCTACAGGTACCTGTGCTCGGGGCAAAAGCTGCAAGACTTACTAGTAAAACTCGAAAACAAGAAAAACGACCAGCTTTATTTACAAAATCGACCCGTGACGATGTCGCGTGAATAAAAACAAGAGGGGGAAATGCTATTCGACTTCATTTTGGAGTTCCTCGGATTAACAAAACCACTAGGTTATCGAATTTTTTTCTGAATAAGACTTGTTAGAAATCCAATTTTTCAGGTTTGCTTTTTATTCTGCAATCCATACGTCGAAATAAATTACGACGAAAACAKTCGACTGATTTGAATCCAAAAAACTTTTAAACGAATTTTGGAAAAAAAATAGGAGAGAAAGTTGAACTTACCTGGAAAGAAGGGGTAAATGTAGAGAGCTTAAACCTTTGTTTGTGTTTACAGGAGAAAAGATCAGACAATATTGGTTAAGATAAAGATTACATTATAGATCACTGCCCACGATAATGGCGTAACCAACTGCAATAATACAGCCACCTAACGACACTCACTCCTAAAACCATCAAATACTTAAAAAAAGACTTTTCGACAAACATTTCCACAAAAAATATGAGCAAAAACTAAATATTTTCAAAATAATTCACATCCTACTATATTTTTATAGGTAATTGAACAAATACATGATTTCTCTCAGTGAGTATAGAGTTTCTTTTTGACATTTTTGTGTTACCTGTAAAGGCGTGAACTTTTCTTATAAAACGGTCATCTCTTACAAGCAGGTAGCCTGATTTTTGGAGTTCAGATAATTTGTTCTAATTTTTATTAATATCACTACAGGATACTAAATTCTTGCGTACAGAGAATTGGAGGTTTAGGGCTTACAGTGCACAGTAACCAATATAGAGTTATGGAATTCATTTTTTGAATTTGCAAATGAAATTATTTTGTACACTGCATGAAGTTAGCTGAAGTTCTTGCATTACCCTAGCAAAACAACCTCTGCGCGCTCAGTGTAGATTATTCTTGCATAGATCGTTGTGCGTTTTATCGTTTATATCTTTTAGACGTTTCACAAATTAGAGTTTCAACAATGAAAAACATGCAAGGTTTTTGGATAAATGGTAAAGCAACGTTTGCTCGACTGGTGAAATTTCTACGTTAACCAAACATTTAGAAAATAATACAATAAATTTTGAAACAAAAAATCCCAGTCCACTCAAAATCGCCATCATTAAAATCATAATTTAACATGTAATTTTCAAAAATCAAGACAATTTAAATGTCTCGACTAGAATTTAATGGATGACTTAAGAAAGGCGTTAACCATTAAGTTTATTATAAACGATTATTAACATTAATAAATGCTTTCTCACACGTACCATGCATGACAAATAATTGAATAAATTGTTACAGAAAATGAAGTTAAAGTTTATAGAACAATAACCTCAACGATGAAAAAAACAATAAAACCAACAACTTGTCTTGTGACTGGTTCAATTTCATCAAAGTTAGTTTGTTTCAGGGTTCTCATTGGCCCAAATATTTGACAATAGTTATAGATCCTGCCTTGTGACTGGAAGAATGTCCTCAAAGAAAAAATACTTAACCAGACCTGTTATTGGCCCATTCGTAGGTCATTTGTGCTGCTATAAACCCTATAGATTTCGTCAAAGTAAAGTTGAACCACGGCTTTCATTGGCCCAATCAGATTCTGCCTTGTGACTGGATAAAGTTTATTATCGGAAACATTTCACAGGCCTTTAGAACGGCGTTATCGTGAAAGGTACTGGCTCGCGATATTTCTCACCCTCCAAACTCACAAGAACACAGTAGTCAGGAATAAACTTGCAAAGTTTTTTATGCTTTTTCCAGTCAGCTTTTTGACAATCTTTTCCACAATACTTCGCACACTTGCACTGTTGACAAGAAAGCAAYTTTTTCGCATCAAATTCGCTTTCGCTTGCATTACACGCCCAACATAGTCGTGGTCGTTCAACAGGGTTCAGATCCGATATCTCCAACAAAGTATCCAGAGAACACTTCATAACTTTGACAAACTCCAGAGATTCCACTCGAAAACCGACAGTTAGATCAAGAAAAAAGTGTTTTTCAGCGTAGCGTATACACAAAGTGTGACCATTCCGCAAAGCCGTGAAATCAAAGAACATTCGACTTTGCTCGGGCTCGGGATAAAATGCTACTGAGATATTTGTATTCCCTTCGATATCTTTCACCCAAATACGATTTCTAAAGAATGGAAATTGTGAAGCTTCATCGTTGAAAATTTCTCCAACGAAGCACCAATGTCTGCGTCTCTGGTAGCTGAAGCCATCAAGGGTCTTATAGTACGTTTCGTCGATCTCATTTTCACCGACAAGGCGCGAAAATGGCGGGAAATTTTTCTTATTGCGTAAAGGGCTTCGAAGCGCCTTGGACGACTTGGCGGCCATATTTAAATAAATGAAYTGCTGAAATACAAAACAAAATTACAAGGGAAATTTGGCAAGTGGAACTAAGGAAGATTTTGAGTCCCTGTAAATCTCCAAAGAAATAATACTCAAGGGAATGACACGAGGGCTGAAATGGGAGAACATTAGACCCAAAGTAAAACGGTCTATTTTCTCATTCGCCGCTGACGAAGAAAGTTATAGAAAAGAGGACTTAAAAAAAAACAAACTAAACATACAATACTTGAAAACATTGCCCTTTACTGTTGTTGCGTTATTTGAAAAGTCTTGTGTGACGCGTGACTCCAATAAMATTCCAGGAAAAGATCAGAGGTCATTCTTGTCGATGACAAATTACTAAACTAGAGTCAAAAAGATATTTCTCTTTCAAAATAAATATTTTCATGAATAAATATTAGATCCGGTGAAATTATAGCTTTCCGGGAAAACGATAATTTGCGAGGAAAGACTGCAATTGAGATTTTTTTCACAGTAAATATGCAAAATAAAGCTYGTAGCGACTGCATATAAACTTCGCAATCTCCTTGCAAGCGGAAATATTACAAAAATCAGTTTCTATTCTGCAGTATTCTTAAAATTTCACCGTCGTTATTACAGCATAACGTTTTTTTCATCAGAAAAATGCAGCAACTGTGAAATTTTTTATCCGCTTGAGAGCTCGAGAATTTTGAAACGAATTTCGACGTATAAAACCCCCAAAAATCCCATGAACCACAGAATAATCAGCGTTTATTCTACATATAGGAGACAATTTAGGACTTACCTTTAAAGATAGCAGGATAAGTAGCAGTAAATATATCAAATAGTGTGATTTATGAGGCTTGTTTTACACGAAGTTTGGCTTGTTGACTCTACCAGAGCTGATGTCAAAGCGTTTGAATACCCGGAGAGAGGATTGGGACAGAGGGGTTGGTGTTTACCAATGCCCGATGGGTGAGAGGTTATTTTGCGCGCCATATCCGTGAAACCAAAAATGTATTGTTTAATTGCTATATTTTTTGTACAGAATAGTGKAATTTACCGAAGCAGARCATTGGAAACAAAAGCAAATTCCTCTATGGGTCTTTGTTTGGTTCATGCCTGATTGAATTCTTAACTATTTTACAACTAAAGTAGCTGATAGCTATTTGTTTCACGGATATAGACTACTATATGGCGTGCACTCTAGGTTAAATAAATAAATGAAACAAGACAATTAAGACTGAATATTTTCAGCTCGGGCGTGAACCTTGCCCATCATAGACCACGTGTCTTGTTGGAGTTTTACCAAATATTGTCAGAAAATAAAGAAATGATACCAAAGGGAATGCGAACGCAAAATGCAATGTCCAGTACTGTGGTTGTCRTTGGCTGCTACTAGTYGCTGCTAGTGCTTCTGCTTAACTTGAACATATTTTATCGAAATAACATAAAACCAAAACAATTATACTCAAGAGAATGTAAATATAAACTAAATGCGATGCTAATTTACTCCTGCTGTTGTTTAAAACGCCAACACCAACAGCAGCAGCAACAACAAAAACAACAACGACAACGACAACGACAACAGCAGCAACAGCAACAGCGACAGCGACGACAACAACAGCAATAGCAAAGAAAAAATTACGTCAAGTCAAGATCATTCTGGTTTGAGAATGACGATGGCGAGGTCACTGAGCGTCAAGTAATAATGTCAAAGTTTGTTCCCGGCATCCCTTCCTAGCGATAGTCAAARTAGCGCGAGACAGGGATACCACAAACACAAATGACATGACATGGGATTTCTAAATATAAGAACAAGGGAATTCATTRTCTGAATAAGAAAATATCACAATAGATACAGCTTTCATTCAGAGTTGATAATGCAATTTGCAAAATCAATTAATCTACWACATAGAAGCTGAGGCCGAAAGGTATTCTGGGAAATGATATCGTTATCTTCTGATGTATTCATTTGARATACACAGTCAATATAAAACCAATGCAACATACTACCACGAGTTGTATCACTTAATACTTCTTATTACACTCCTTTCCATGCACCATTTTGGTCTTAGCTTCTACATTTAAGGAAYATAAAACGCGCGCGACACTTCTCTCGTGCTCTAGGGCTCCCACAATGTTTATATCACAGTACAGAGACATAATTAGACGTTTTATATTGCTTTTATAAAATACTCTTGAACAATTTTGCGGCAGCGTGTCTCTGTCTTCATGATATAAACACGGTAGCCAGCCAATTAGCGCGTGCTCAAATGTTCTATAATCTATGTTTTGAACCTGGCAATGATTTTGAAGTTGAGTGCATGTTGGACCAACTTAGATAGAGCGAAAATATTCCAACTTCTATCCCTTTATGATGCAAATCATTTACTTTACTTCAAAACTGTGTGGCAAAAAAATTCTACATTTTTTGACTTCGCATGCAGTTTTGCATTAAAGTAGGTGATTTTAAAATATTGAAAAATGGGTAATGGTTTTAATACTTAGCCAATACTTACCGTTCAAGCCTAGATCGAGAGGAGATAGATATGCAGGAAGATTTTTCATTGTAGTTTTTTTGGTTGTTGTGACTTGAGTTTATTGGGGTATGCTTGATCCGTGCTATGGCCTACAGGTTAATGTTGCACATTGTTGAACAACACTATTAGTACTATATGGATCAAGCTATAGGTTATTAAGTATTGAAGCCCATTACATCATCGCGTAAACATCAACAAATGGTCAATGATGTCATTGCCATTACGCTTGAAAGAAGCTCCAAGGAAGCAGCTATGGAGATGATAAAATCCTTACATTTGATTGGCTGTTGACGATCAAAAAATCAACACTGAAAAAATGAATGGAATTTCGACCAAGTGGTCGGGAAATACGAATGTTCTTTACACAGCGGTAAAGGAAAACTCCAGCAAACTAGAAATTATTTTAAACCTACGAGTTTGGAGTCCTAAAAACGCCGTAAAAAGTAAGTATAATTAGTTAGTTTTAACGTACCAAATAAAAAATCCATAAAGAAAATAAGATTTTAACTTTTAGAATATAATTACAAACACGTTAAGTTTTATAACGAGTAATTCCTCAACGACATTTGACTTGAATAATATGTTTAGGCCCCGGTTCTTTTCCGTTTTCATCAAATTTTATTATGAATTTTCAGGAAAAAATGACTTGTTTATAAGGCTGAATTTTAGGATGAAATGTTTGAGTGAAATTATGTTTAGGAACACGATGAATTGAAGCGCGCATTCACCTGTTGTCGAAAGCGAATTCAACTTCACGCGCGAGTTCTTTGGTAAATCTCACTATCGATTCACTCATATGAACAGAATAGATCAGTTTATTCTTTGAAATAAAATTTCTCTGGGGCTCAGAAAAAGCATCAAAAAATCGTAGCTTTTATCAATAAAATTCCAACAAAAAAAATTATAGCAGCAGATCAGTGAACAAAAAATTTGAAACTCGCTTGAATCAATCCACAGATTCCTAGTTGTTCATTTCTCTCCTAATTTTAGAGTGCGCACCATATTTACCGTAAAATAATATTAAAATCAAAAATATTTAGCTATCAACTGATTTAGTATTCAAATACTCGTATAGAGTGCGCTCAATAGGAATTTAAAACGTTATCAAAAAATGACATAATTATGATAAATTTATATGATACAAAAAATGAAAGAATTAATAATTGGTGCTTACAGGAATAAAATAGTTCTGAAGCCGAACTCAAAACTCTTTAAAATATTTTCATTAAAAATCTAAACGTTTACGACGGAACTTGTTTGCTAAAATTTTCTCTTTCGACATTTTTAGGTATTTTTTAAAAAAATTATCGTCGCACAAGGACTCAGAGGTGCATAAATTGCATAGTGAGAATTTTCTGGTAAGTATGAGTACGAAGCTTTATTTTTCGTGTTCATTGTGGACTTCTAAACAAACAGTTGCATCAAAATGCTATGCCGATTATGACAGCAATTTTACAGCACTTTACAAGTTTCTGTAACCTCGCACAACTCCAGGGTTTTGGTTGTCCGTCAATCAAAAATTGCCGCTCAAGATTGGGGTGAGGGGATCGTAAAGATAAATATGTTGAAATGAGGAAAAATTCTTATACTCAGACATTAGCAAATTGATGGACGGAGGTCAAACACAAGAAACTGTAATGCGTCTGGAGCGCCCCAAGGTTCATCACTGGGACCAGGATTAATGACACAGGGAATGGGATGCAAAAACACCAACATGGGAGTTCT